AAGACACATTTTTCTTTAGTACAACTTCTTGGTCTAGGCTGGTTGATGTTAATTTTACTGTTTGAGAAAATTAAAAACAGGGATGTCAATTCAAACATACTAAACATATTGTTCACAATAAGAAAGAATATAAAATATATATATATATTTATAGAAATACATAATTTTTTTAATTGCTTTCATCACATGCAAGTCAGTAAAGCCACTAAGACACAAGGGGTTACTGGGTGTAGAAGATTTAGGAACAGAAACATTAATAATGAGCTGGAAGGAAAAAGAGTAATCAGGAGGACAGTAGATAGTGATTGATATTGCATTTATATTTTTGTAGCTTAAAGTTGGCTGGAAAGGAGTCAGAAGGGAGTTTCACAAGTGAGAAGTGCAAGAAAAGAAACCGTTAGCATAGAATTTATGGCTGCATCTAACCAGCTCAACTGTAAATTTATGAGATCTGGTACTGTGCTTAAATTCAAAAGTCTAGGTACATTAGTGAAGAGCTGATCTGAAAAATTACCATGGAAGTATTTAATATACCAATGCAGCAATGATAATTAAAAATCAACATAAAAACCAGACTGGTGGACTTACAGGAAGAAAATGGTTGAAAATATACAGAGCGAAAAAAAAAAAACAAGCATTTGCGTAAGGTGGTTGAGAGACAAGTTGTGGAAAAGGACAAGATTTAGAAAGAAATTTGTTAGCTTGAAGATGTGGTGGGGAGATATTTGATGGAAGAGACCAAGGAAAACACATAAAAGAAAAGATACATCACCACCCATAACAAGATGGAGCTAAAAAAGAATCAGGTTAGGGTCTTCAGCATAAACAATTCCAGGAATCAATCATAAAGAAAGAGGTCAATACTTTGCTTGATTGATCAATATGGAATCATCTATGAACAAATCCCTCTTCCTGGCTACTTTGACATAGAGTGGGAGATTTGGATATGGGTAGATATGGGGTGGCTGGGTAGATTGACTTGGAGGAACTGGCCTTGAAATAGCAAATTTCCATTTCTGTAATATTAATCCCATGGTAATGGAGACTGAGAGTGGAATGACATGAGAGTTGGACTATAAAAAGTCAGGGGAAAGTAAGAAAGGCCTGGGGGAGAAAGAGAGTTTTTGATCTTTCGGGTGAGATTAGACATAAAAATGAAGGTGGATCAATAAGTGTGTGTGTGTGTGTGTGTGTGTGTATATATATATATATATATAAAAAGAAAGAACAGTAAGATATATAATCCGGTGTTCTTATAGATATTTTTATTTTTACAAAATAGTGCTCAATGTAAATTTACAGAGCATTAATTAATTAATTTATAATATATATATATATATATATATATATATATATATATATATATATATATATATATATATATATATATATATCTATATATATATATATATATATATATATATATATATATATCAATATCTCCATGCCCATCATAGCACTGCAAAACCTTGATAATGATGATCAGAGCAGCCTCAGTTAGCATTACCAGAGAGTCCAGTCTAGATGCATATAAGAAAAAAAAAAAGAAGAAAAATATATATATATGTGTGTGTGTGTATATATATATGTATGTATGTATGTATGTGTGTGTGTGTATATATATATATATATATATATATATATGTATTTTTTTTCTCATATGCATCCAGACTGGTAGTAAAGGCAGCATTCACCAACTTAAACAAGGAGACCATCCAGAAGAGAGGCTGGAGATTCTGAAGTCATCTGGAGGCCATGGTTGAAACCGATGGGGATTTTTTGAATAAATTTACTCTTTAGTATTTCAAGATGTAATTTTGGTAAATATATATGTTAAAATGAGATGTCAGTGTTATTTTCATATTTGCTTAATTTAGATGACAAATTATCTGTCATGTCCTTATTATTCTGAATAACTTGAGTGCCCTTTTTAACCTGAATCACTTCTATGTCCATATTTACTTGTCTCATTTCAGTGTTTGTATTATCCTGACTTTGTTCTATAGTCTTATTTACTTCAATCACTTCTATACTCTTATTCACTTAACTTCCTATTGTCCTAAGTTACTAAAATTCTCATTAGTGCATAAAAATATGTCTATCAGAAAGGAAAATATCCCTAATCATGTCCACAGAACAAATAAATTATTCCCGCTGAAATATAACAGAAAACTGACCTGTACTAAAACTTTTTTTTTGTCTTGGGCTATATATTTAGTAAATCCTACCTGTGATATCTCAGGTAACATAAACAGCTGATTATTACTCTAATTATGTTCATAATAGCAGCAATAAAATTAACAATGCCACTGTACTCACTAAAAAAAAAAAAAAAAAAAAAATCAATGTATAAAAAAAAAAAAATCCCACCTCCAAATTTTGTGTTCTTTGTACATTGCTTATTGTTGGTTCTCTGGATCAATAACTGATAATTTTAATTTTGTTTGATCTCTCATTATTGATTTAAGGAGAGCAGTTCATTTTGAACAATATATTTTTTCCTAAAGAATTTTTTATGCCTAATTCATCAATTGTTGTTTATATCATCAGCATAGGTTATTGTTATTTGCTTCTTCTTTTTCTTTTTTTCTTTTTCTCCACTTAGGAACTCATCTGGGTTTTCAATCACCTCTTTTAATATATTTGTAAGAGATTGTTAGTTATTTTTAATGATAAGGAGCCGTTATTGGAAAATAACCTTGTTGTTTCTTACCCTTTATCGCCAGAGTGTTTATATTTAAATAGAACCATAAATAAATTGCTGTTTTTTGAAGGGATATATAAAATAAGCAAGGAAAAGAAAGAAAACCTTGAAAAAATCTTGAAGGAGAAAAGACAAGGTTATACAAAAAAAAAAATAAACAAAATAATTGTAGGTTGGAAACAGTCAGTATTCTATTATTAAGGGGAAGAAGAAAGAATGTGGTTTAATGACACATCAATTCCTATATAATGGTCATATGGAGCCAAACAAATATTTAATTAAAAATTAATGTTCATCAAAGGTTACAGCAAATAATGCTTATCATTTGTTAAATATTGTCCTGAAGGAATTCAAAGAAGGGTTTTATTTCAGATATCCAGGAATTTTATCATTTTAGCAACATACATTAGGAATATTTTGATGAAAAATTGTATTTTTTTTTTTAGGTTTACTTCACAATGATGAAAGAGATAAAAAAATCTTTTCTGGTTTTAGTTGGGTTTGAAACTAATTTTTCTCTGAATAACAATTTATGTGACAGGGACAGATAAGTGGTTTAAAAATAAACACATATAAAAACTGACACCCTGTTTGTCATTAAGAAATTCACTCATAAATGTTTGTAATACATATAACAGTGACTATGTATGTCATTTTACATATCAAATTCAAATTATCATATATGTAAAAAATATGCAAATCTAAACAGAGAAATCAATATGGGCTCAAGGTTTTTTTTAATCATTTCACCCTAAGTAAGACAATAAAGCCACTAAGACACAAGGGAGTTAGTGAGTCTGAAAGAATAAGAAAAAGAAAGCATTATTAAGGAGTGCAAACAATAAAACAGGAGGAATCCACAAAATAGTAGATAAAGATTGACAAAGCATTTAAATTTTAGCAGATCAAAGTTTGTGGAAAGAAAGAAGCCCGAAGAGAGTTCTATAGGTGAAAAGTATGATAAAAGAAACTGTTAGCAAATATTCTTCTTTGGATTTTATCAAGAATCTCTACATAGGAGCACCAGACCATATGACAGCAATATTTGAAGCATGAATGAATGACATACTTATGAATATATAAGATAGATTCTGGAGAGAAAAATTGTATAGATAGCACAACACAGTGAACCAACTTTCGTATTTGATTATTTCAATACAAATTCAAAATTGCATCACTGTAATTTTGCTTCCCTTTGCCTTTTCTATAAATATTTTTCATTGAAATTGTTCAGATGAGATTTCTTCTTTGCTACTTCAACTTCATGATTTTAAGCATTGTACTAGATTGGCAGTTTATTCTCCTCATTTTACTATTTAAATTGATAGATATAAATATAAATTCTAATTTAATATTTTATTCTTTTGCACTTCTTGCCTGTGGAACTCTCTACTGTGGCTCCTTGTTTTCCTGTTCACTATGATCTTCAAATATTTAAATTGCCATCTTTTCTCTTTTTGAATCCTGTTCTTTTATTATGCGTTTTCATCAAGAAAGTTTTCTCAGATTCTTTTACTAACCTTTTAGTAACCCCTTGTATTTTATTTTACTGACTTTATTGCCTTGCTTGGAAAAAAAAAAAGGACACATCAAACCACTGCTTTTCCACTTAGATCTCTACTTTCTATGAAACAACAAGTGCATTATACACAAGAAAATTATAATATGCTGCATATTTTACAAACTATAGCTGATCTTGACTTTGGGCATGACACTACTGCAATTTTCTTCCTTCTACCCCTCCACCAAAAAATTAATGTAACATGTGTCCGTTGGCTTTTTGCTTTCTTGGTCTACTTGCTTCTTGTCTTACGGCCAATAAAAAAAAAAAAAAATCTTGTAATTAGTATGGCATTGCACTCATTAACCTGAACAACTTTATGAATATCATTTCAATTAGTTTAATCAAGCATGGAAACATCAAATGTAGTCAATACTTTCAACCTGAGACCAGATATGAGTAAGAATGGTATGTTGAAACTTAAATTGATTTGTTTAAAAGAGTTGTTAAAATTTTGCTTTTTTAATATACATATTTCTTTCCTTCTGGCCTGAATAAATACAATGTTTTATCTTCATTTTATTGAAAATAGTTCAGTCAAATTTATTACACCTTGGGTGAGTAAAATAATGTTTTCAGTCTTAGGGAAAAAATAAATATTAAAATCAAACAAAGTAAAAATATACAGGAGATAAAGCAAAAAATAAAAAAGGCTTTTGGTTTTTGAAAAACAAACATACAAAAGAAAGTAATTACTTTCACTTGATGCTGTTTACTTCACTGTAGTTGTGTTACTGGGTACAATTTTAAGGCATGCATAATATAAAATGTGTATAAAAGTGGGGGAACTGATGAAGTAAAGGAGATAAAGAGAGAGGGGAGAGAGAAAGAAACATACAAGACATTGAAAGAGCAGACAGTAAATAAAGAAGAAAAATGGAGAGGTAAGAAAAAAGAAGATAGAAAAAGAGAAAGGGGAGAGAAACGCACAAAGAATTGAATTGGAGGGTTGAGAAAGAAAGAAAGAAAGAAAGAAAGAAAGAAAGAAAGAAAGGGAGATATGGATGTGAATAAAAAGATAGGAAAGGTGAAAGCAAAAAAAACTAAGTTGAAAGCAAACAAATGGGTATTTATGATGCTTTGATTCCTGACAACTGGCTCCTATCAAGGTTGATAAGAGAAGTAGCAGCTTTTAACTGCTGCTGCCTGGGAAGGTGAGGCTGTTATGGGAAAATGTTTTACGCAAGTATTTATTCCCCAACTATTTTCTCTGTCAACCATCATGGCATGCCAGTGACAAGACATTTTGTCTTGCTATCTGACAATAGGATAAAGTACAGGAAGAAGTGGATTCATGCCTTTCACAGAAGCAGAAATATGAAGTGATCATGAACTGTCTAAGCTAGAACATGAACTTATTTCACTGCTTCCATGTTGTGTACCAATATCCATTAATCTGTCCTACATATACACTGTACTGCATGGATGTAATATTTAATAAGTATATAGATCTCAGTATTTAATCAAAAATACTTAAACATTTTCTAATAAAAAATAGTTCAAGTTTTAAATATCTGTAAGCTCAGATACGGAACTGTTACACATATATCAGTTCTCCTATATGGCAGTGAATGCTGGACTATCTCCTTACAGATGAAGAAGAGACTTGAAGCAACAGAAACAAAGAGTACTGAACTGTTATGTAATATCAATCCTCCTATATGGCAGTGAATGCTGGACTATCTCCTTACAGATGAAAGGGACTTGAAGAAACATAAATGAAGCTCTACAGAAGGATGCTGAGAATATCATGGACTGAACATGTGAACAACAAAATTTTAGAGAAATTGAAAACAAAAAGTACTTATATTGAACATCAGGAAAAGAATGTTGAAATTTCTAGGGTGCATAATGAGAAAAGAGGGCTTGGAAAATTTGATACTCAAAGGACAGAGTGAAGACAAGAGGAAATCAATGCATAACCTCCTTAGAGAGCTTGAGCAAATGGATGGCAGAGCAAGTTATCACCTTTTTGTCGAAATTTTACCAGGGCATCATAAGAGCTTCTTTCAAGTTTGACATATTTGAGTATGATATACATAAAATATCACTCTCCAATATGGGCAATATCATAAAGCCCATACCATTAATGCCAGGACTTGATGGAAGTTAAATTGACAAAAAAAAAAAAAATCCATGGATATCTTGTAATGGGTTTTCTGTTTCATTTTTAATTCCATGGATATTTGACAACATAGTGTCATGTTCATATATTTTTAATTTGAATGATAGCAAATGGTTTGCATATTTTAGTTTAAATTCTTTCCATTTCATCTACGGTAAATCTTCTCCTCCACTGGTATTTACTTTGTTGTCACTTTTGCTTAATATATTTTCCTCTGTGCAATTTCCTTGTAGTGAACATTTGGTTTTATTTCTACAATTACATTTTTTGTCAGTGTTTTTGCATTGTTGCTACTTAGTATTTATGTATGTATTTGTGTGTGTATATATATATATATATATATACACACACACACACACACACACACACACACACACACACACACACATATATATATATATATATGTGTGTGTGTGTAATAAAAAATATAGTTTTAAGGCATGCTATATTTATGGGTAAAAGTGCTCAATATCAGAGATATAGCATATGTAAATATAAAAGTGGACACTGAGGTCAATACCAAGTGGTGATGGTCATTTTCGTATCTTAACACAGTCTGTCTCAGGCCTGAAGATTGTATTGGAGCATGAAAAAAACTGTTGCCCTTTGGTGTCAACCTCAGTGTCCACTATCATTTCATATATATATATATATATATATATATATAAGATAAAAGGTGTAAAGTACTTGGGTTAAAAAAAAACTACAATGACTCCTTCATAAATTTCATCTTAATATCAAGAAACAGATTAGACAACTTGAGAGGATCAGTAAAAAAATAAGTAAACACAATATGACGATATTATTCAATGAAACATGAAGATATGCTGCCTATATATATATATATATATATATATATATATATATATATATATATATATATATATAGAGAGAGAGAGAGAGAGAGATAGATAGATAATCTTCTAATATATAAATGGACTGTGCTTTTATGTATTTATCAATATTAGGTCTTTTAAGAATTTGACGTGTGTAAATGTTCTTGTCACTTTTAAAAAATAATGGATATCTAAAAACATGACTAATTTTGTTTTTTTTTAAAAAAAGTTTTTCTTCATTCCCATTAGTGTTTTAAAGATAATATAGTAGTAGTAATAATATTAATATTGTAGTAGTAGTAATAATAATAATATTGTATCAATCACCATCATCATCACTGCCTATACCTCATTCCTAAAATAAAATAAAAAGGAAAGACTCCAGATTTTGACAGTTACAGCTTTGTTAGCGACATTTTCATCCTTATCTTAATCTTTCAAATAATTTTTTAATAATGAAAGAGAAAAAAAAAATTATAATCAGTAACCAAAGGAAACACACATAAACATACACACAGACATTCCCCACCCAGTTCACATCCTTCTTCTTCCATTCTCCTCCAACCAAAACTTAAACCTGGCTTTGTTTCAATCCCATTCAATATCTGCAGATGTTGATCCAAGAGTCATAATTCATGATTTTTATAGGCATGTATATAGTTTTCCCCATCTGGGACCATTTTTTTATATTTTTATACAATCTTTCTTTGTCTTTCCCCTTAACCTATATGAGGAGACAGAAGCAAACAGACTCTCTTTGGTTCTATATTGACACTTAAAAAAAATCATAAGTAGAGGACAAACTCCAGATCTGTCTTCCTCTGTGGGTCTTTCATTTTATTATTTTCATCTTAATAAGCAGAGATACATTCTTATCCAATTCTCCCTCACCACCACCAAGATGGAGAGGGGGGATGTTTTGTCCATCAACCAGTTATCCGCACAACAGCAAGCACGCCTTAGCTTATTAATGTCTTGTTTAAGGAGAATAAGTAAATAAACAGTGATATTCATTTTTTTTGCCTTAAAATCCCACAGATGTGCCAATAACTGATCAGTCTGTTCACTTTTAACAACAAAGAATAAATTACCTGAAACATTAGATTAATTCCTTTGAAATTTATGCAGTGTGACATTTATCAAATTGATTCCTACTCTACCGAAATCACTTCATGAGAGTTTTGATTTTCTACAGATTTGAAATGGAGCCGTAAGAATTATTTGGATTTTTGTCTTGTTTTTCTTTTAAATGTTTCTCGAGCCTAATATAAAATATAATACTGGAGCTGGAAAGAAAGAGAAATGACAACAAGTCTTCAACAGCAGCAGCTGTAACAAATGAGAAAAGCTTCAGTGAGTGCATTCAAGCATGACAAGCAGCATCTGCACTCATCAGCAGGCAGGTTATGCATAATGCTGCAAATTATCCACAAAGAATTGTCCAATGGGACAATATCCCAGTTGATTAAATCATTGATTTGTGAATTTGGTGACAATAATTGTGAGTTCAATACCTGGGCTGTGAACAGTCTATCACCCATAAATTAAATAAAGGGTTCAGTCTGGAATTCTCTGTAGGTTACTTAGATTGATATACACCTGATGAAGGCTGGAAAGCATAATGGCTGAAATGTGGTGATGACAACAACAAAGGTGAGGACAATATTTCAAATGTAAATAGTTTAAATGATGATAACTCCTCATCTCAGAAATTCAGACAGAAATTTGTCTTATTAGTTTTCCAGCACTCAGCTGAATTTTTCACCCAGTTTAAAATGGAGCTTAAAGTAGGAACACATTTTCTTTCAATGATTTCTATCTCCTTTTGTGTGTTTTGTCTTCATGTTCATGACTAACAAGCTGAGGGATCATGGTCTGCCATGATGAGTAAAATCTGTTCTGAAATTAATAATTTGTACAAGTAAAATGATCTCTCAAACAAATTAATATAGTAGATAAGGCAAATCAAATTTAGAATAGGCTGTATGATGGGTAGTTTTATATAATACAGTAAATTGCTACATAATCAAAACATTAACCTAAAAAATCAAGTCACATTCTTAAATAACCCTGTCAAATCAAACCTTTCTTATGTACAGGGTGTGATGGATAAATTGTCATCTAAATTATGCAAAAAATGAAAATAACACTGACATCTCATTTTAACAGATATATTTACCACAATTACATATATTGAAATACTAAAGAGTAAATTTATTCAATAAAATTCCCATTGGCTTCAATCATGGTTCCAGACGACTTCGGAACCTCATGCATCTCTTCTGGACGGTCTTCTTGTTTAAGTTGGTGAATGCTGCTATAATCCTTGCCTTCAGTTCATCTGTTCATCTTTTGGTGTTACAAGAAATTTTGTTGGTCTCTTGCTCAACTGCACTCCACATATAATCAAGACTTGATGAGTTAGGTGGCCAGATGTAAAGAGTGATATGGTCACAGAAATTGTCTAACAGGCATAACTGGGTTCTCCTGCTTGTGTGGCATGGTGCAGAGTCCTGTTTCCAGACATTGGTTCTTCTAGCAGCTACCTTCTTGATCCAGGGCAACATTGCCTCCTCAAGGCACTTGATGTAGGCCTCAATGTTGAGTCTGAGGCTCTGTAGGAAGATGAATGAGGCATAGCATTGCCATCACTAGTGATCACTCCAAACACCATGATGTTGACTGGATATGTCATCCAACTCTTTCCAAATCCTCTGCACTGTCCTCAGATTGACACTCAAACACTATGAAATGTTCATATTGAAGCTTCTAGCACAAATACAAAGTACAGCATTCTGTTTCCAAATTTCTGATGGAGTGAATTGTGTCATGGTGCGCTTTTTCTCACAGACAGTGCTCAACTGACCCTATTATACTGTGCAGTCGACAAAATCAAAAACAAACAATACACATGCATGAAATAAAAAATACAAGACAGTGACAGTGTATAACATAACATAATGTGTATAGCAGTGTATAACTGTATAACATGCATGGTACCATATCCATTCAAAAATATCTAAATGGTAAGCTGTATACAACTGCTTTCAAATCAATGGTTAAAAATGGCTTTGAGCTCATGAAGCATGTAACTCTTAGCAAGAACCAAACTTCTTTGAACCTCATTGGCTAGTGTTACAGAATCACAAATAAAGAACTGCATAAAACAATAGAAACCACAATACTAAAGGACTTCCCACAAGAGCAACAGTTAAAATGAATAGCAGTAACTTGGAGAGAAAATAAAAGCCTAATCAAAATGTTGACATTCGAAATTAGTTTGAAGAAAAGTTAGGAAGGAATCCTTAATCAATACTGGAAAGAGCAATAACAGCTACTGGACTGGAGAAATTTATTTTCCTGAAAAATTATTTTAAAAGAAAGATTATATAAATTTCAACTGAAAGAATCACTGGCTTTTTAGTCAATGAATGCCAAATACTTCTTTACAAGTAATTAACATTTTTGACACTTCCATTTCGTAACATAGCTCTCCACGGCTTCCTTTTCTTTATTATCTGTAAATTGTCATGACATCTTGGGAAAGATAATAGAGTTATTTTCCATTGCTTTTTCCACAGTTCTGAATTTTAAACAATCCTTCTCTTAGGCTGGTCACCAACCAAGACTCAAGTGTCTAGTCTATTCTGCTGTTTAACTCATAACTGAGCAATAACAAAATGATACTTTTCCCAAAGACCTTTGTACAAAAGTGAACACAAAAGACAGATGGGATTTTGAACTCTGGTCCGAGAATCCATTTTCCACACTGATAGCCATTATGCCCCTTAGAAAAGAATTTGAATAAACTATAATCAAGTTGTTTGTGTCTGTTGTAAGCTATAAAATCTTATATAAAATGCAAAAGGATGGCCATAAAAATAATCTGTTTTCAATTGTCAGTGTTCTGAATAACTTAAAGGTTTGCTTTTAAACACAGAGTAAATGTCTTAATTATGCTGGTATTTTTTTAACTTATCAATTAATTCTATTTGCTTATTTTAACTTTTTCTCGGTCTTGCAAAACATGACATAGTTCATTTTCTAGATTAGAGCATGACCAGGGGGCAAATGCCACCATCTAACAATGTGCTTCTTGAATTATTGCAACCATTAAATGTTTTAAAAGAGGAGCTCAGGTTATGCTTTATCAATTGTTATAAACCTGTAATAGAAAGAATATATTTGAACAAATGCTTCCAGAGGTGTTGTTATCTTTCTAATTATGAATTTGATAAGACAGATCTTAATATATGTTGAAAAGTTTGTTCTAGTTAGTGCTGTTTCAGGCTAGTTTAGCCAGAAAGTACTCAATAGATAACTAGTATGAGATCATATTCTTGGGTTTTGGTTAGAACCTAAAACTACATCTGACAATGGAGTCTCAACTAAGAGACAGAATTAGGTATCCTGAACAATTGTTACTTACTGGTAGTTTTGGCACCTGTTTGCCCTCTCACCAGCATTATGTTTTTTTTTAGTGTTGATGAGAATGAATAAGTTGAAAGACAGGATAAGACAGTAAATCATCATTAGGGTGTGTTATGGGGTTTTTTTATCAAAGAGTGAAACAAAAGATCATTACTTCTTCAAATCAAGCATGTCATATTTGCTAAGAAAATGGTAACACTGTTTGCTTCCTTTTTTTATGGAAGAGTGAAGAATCTGGTGAATGTAAGTTGCTTGCAATTGGACTATATAAACCTGAGAAACTGCAGTGGACTAGGAGAGCCTTACACTATGGGGAAAGTTGTAGCTGAGGCTGGAACACAAGTCAATATTTTCTCAGTATCAACTACATTGCTGAGGAGGGGCATAATTTTATCAAACATGAGAACCCTAATGATACTCAGTTGAAAACATCACTGATAATGTGTGTCAAGCAGTGAACAGATGTATTTCATGAAATAAATTAAGAAAAATCTGAGTAACTTATCCAAATAGCTGACTCAAGAGTTTCAAATTGAAATAATCATCAGGGCTAGAGGTTTGATAAATATTTATAAGATTTATTTATCAACCACCTGACCCTGATGAGCATTTTAATGTGAAACTCTGGCATCAGTTAACCAGATGAATCACCTGAACTTTTCTTTATTTATTGAATATAAAACTATATGTGCAAAATTCCTCTATGCATTGAATTTCATTTCTTTGGAAAATCTTGAATGTTTCTTTTGAAAATGTTGAATTCATCTGTTTTGAAAGGTTTCATCCTCATTACCAACAAGTCGTAACTCTTCCCGCTACAAAAAGTTGACCAACAGCAACCTTGCCCATTTCAATCCTCATTAGCTACAGAGATTTCTATCACATCAACCAACCTCGATGAACTCTTCTTGTTATTTACATTACAAAATACTAAAAGGCTTTCATTTGAAAATGTTGAATTTATTTATTTTGAAAGTCTTTATCTTTATCAGCAACCAGTCATATATCTTCCCTTTATAAATTGGTGACCAACAGCAAACTTGTCCATTGCAATTTTGTAACACTTCATCACCATAACATCTTCCAACTTTGGAAACAATCAGATATTAGATATCAAACCAGGACTTTGCAGAAGAAACACGACAACTGTGTATTTTAGGTTCTTCACTGCTTACATCTTTTGTTGTAAATATAATACAATCTTGTTTTACCACAATGAAAATCTTTCTGAGCTTATTCTGTGGAGGCAAGACTTGGGTGCTTGCAAGCTGACATTGCTTTTATTCATCTATGTATTTCAATTGATGTGCAACCTTTTTTCACTGATGACTGTTTTATACATCACTCGGATATAGTAC